CCTTCCAGACGCGCGCTGGACCGCCCCGCGGCGCTGGACCCCCGGTGTCCCTGGAGTGCCGGGAGCGAGCGCGTGAGCCCAGCAGAAGGCAACGGGCCGGGCCGCCACCTGCCGCCGTGACCTTGAACAAGTAGACTCGGCCGAGCTCCGGAGGCAGCGGTTTGCAGAGAAGCGGGCACTTGCTTCCGATTCCAAAGTTGACGCGGAAGGAGAGAGTGCACTACGTAGGGAGAGAATCCTCTATCCCACTGGAGCTCGCATCCCTAGGGAAACTATCCTCCACCCCCCAGCCCACCCCCCAAATCCCATCAACTGCAGACACTCATGCCTCATGCTTGACTTTCAGTCTCTCGGTGAATCTTTTACATAGCTAAGGGCTTTTAAATGAGAACTGGATCTTGAAAAGGTCGGGAACCGGAAATAGGATTCAATCATGTGGTTGATTAATGCTGTGAACTCGCAGGTGTATGGCAATTCGGGCTGATTATACAGGATGCACACAGGAAAGCATTTATGAAGTAGGTTCTCTTAGGCTTGTTTGTGGCACCGTGACAGAAGTCTGAGGATAGTTCCAGACATTTGAAACAAGATGTAAAGTGAAGGTAAGGGCTGATGAGACCACAGAAAATGTCACAGGTTTAAATTATTTGAATATATCGATTTTTTTTTCTTTTTAAAGACAGAGTCGTATGTAGCTCAAGCTTGCCTTGAACGCACTGTGTAACTAAGGGTGACCCTGAACTTCTGCCCTTCCTGCTAGTGCTGGTATTACTACCTTCCTAGTGCTGGGATTACCACCAGACCAAGTTTCTACAGTGCAGAGGATCGAGCCCAGGCTTGTGCCTGCTAGGCACTCTACACCTGAGCTACACCCCAGCTCTACATTGCTTATTTCTCTATCAGCACATGGTAGTTGTATTTTATGGAGTGTGAGATGGCGATACATGTCTAATCTACAGTGATCAAGTCAGGGTGACTAGTGTGCCATTCCTGCAGACACTCATCACTTCTTTGTGTTTGGAACATATAGTTTTGAAATAATAAAGTGTTGTCAACCAGTTAGGATTGTAAGTCAATGATCTCTCCCTTGACAGGGAAATGAGATGGTTGGAAGTGAGCAATTTATTTGGCTTTGATTTGGTAACCAGAATAATTCAGTTACTTTCACTGAACAAGTCTCTCTGGATTTCTCACTGACACTCTGTTTTTGTTTCTCAACCCATGGGTCTTGACACCGAGGATGACCAACCCTTTCACAGGGGTGGTATATCAGATATCCTGCATATCAGACATTTACATTATGATTCATAACGGTAGCAAAATTACAGTTATAAAGTAGTAATGAAAAAAATTAAGATTGGGGTCACCTGTTGAGGAACCATATTAAAGGGTCTCAGCGTTAGAAAGGCTGAGAACCGCTGGTCTAGACAGTCTAAAGTCTAATGTAGTTCAGGCTGGCTTCCAATTCACTGTGGAGCTGAGAATGACCTTGAACTTCTGATTCTCTTGCCTCTATCTCCCAAAGGCTGAGGTTAAGGGGTTGCACTGACACCATGTCCAGTTTTCTGGGCTGTTGGGGATCAAACCTAGAGTTTTGTGCATACTAGCAAGCACTCTACCACTGAGCCGCATTTCAAGCCCATCACTTTGGGGGGGAGGGGCAGGGTCCTACTGTATAGACAAGATTGACCTGAAACTCACTGTGTAGCCTGGGTGTCCTAGAACTCACAGTCACCCTGTCTCAGTCCCCCAAGTGCTGGACATACAAGTGTATGCCACCACAACATCAACTTTTTTTCTTTTAAAGTTTCATATGAGACAAGGTCTTGCTGTGCAGGATGGCTGGGGAACTCTATGGTTCAGACTGACTGGAACTTGTGGCGATCTCCAGTCTGGATCTTTCTAGTGCTGTGATTACAGGCCTGTGCCACTGTGCCCAGCAATGTGTTGCCTTGTTTCTGTGTGTGGTGCTGGGGACTGAACCCAGGGCCTCATGCAAGCTAGATAAGTGATCCACCACTGTCCTGCACTCCTGGCACGCTTCTCCCCCACCACACCTTGATACCCAAGCCTCTTTCCTGTCTCCATTTATAGTCTTCCTTGACACAAGAACTGGGACTCCCAATTTACAGGTGAGAAAATGAGAGTTCTGGAGTTTATTCACTTTCAACTAACTACTTTGATGATCAAGAGACCAAAGACGTCACAATTAGAGCTAACAGAGGAGTAATCACTTAAATTGCAGAAAATGTGCTAAAGGGAAGAGCTGTACCAACACAGTTCTCAGAGTAAGAGGAAAAGCCAATTTGGGTTTATCGTACATAGAAATGTATTGTAATAGCATTTGGCAGTGAACAAAATCTTTCCGTAGGCCAAAGAACTAGGCTTGGGATTTAGAAGCAATGCCTTAAGAAGTTGAAGAGCTGGCACTAGGATACTACTCAGTAGGCAGAGTGCTTACTCAGCATACACTAGGACCTGGGTTCAATCTCCAGCAGTGCATACATTTGACATTGTGGTGTATCACTGGAATCTCAGTCAAGGTCAAGACATTCTAAGATTTAATGGAAGGCAACTTTTTAACAGGAACACATCACCACAAGTTCTGTGTTAATATATCATATTTAATTGAAGTCTACTATACTAAAATATAGAAAATCTACCTAAAAATATATACATTCCAGAAAAATACAAAAGAGAAGAGTGGATGATTCCAGAGACTGAAAATTGGTGGCTAGATCTGAAAAGCAGAATTGACTTGTCATTAAACACCTTTTAAATTTTGTATCATGTTTTTGTATCTCATGTAAACAACAGCAAAGGGCAAAGAGAATTTTACTAGTTAACATTGTTTCAAGGTTAAAGGCTAGACCACAGAAGGTATCCTAGAGTTAAACTGATAAACTTTGGACGAATGTATCTGTTTGCTATCTGGAAACCAGTAGGCTATGTCAAGGTGAGGGTGTGGGGGCGCAGTTCTGTGAGCACCCTGTACGGAATATATTGTAAAAGGAGGACTGAGGCAAATCTGCTAGGGTACTTGTTCCATGTCACTTTGCTAATAATCTGTAAACATTATTCCTGGATTTTGTAGGAAATCCATTAAGTCCAATGTCTTAGAGGATGGGATTTGGAGACGTTTTGCTTTGGTTGGGTTTTGGGTCCTGAGGACTGAATGTGTGGACTTTATCAGTGAGCTATGCCTTCCACCCTGGGTAGATACACGGCTGACAGTGCAGACTCAGGCTTGAATACAGCTGTGGTCTCGCCCAGGGTAACGGTGTTGCTGGCAATTTCTCTCTTGCCCTAGAATTGAATGTAATACATATCCATGCATGGGGATGTCAGGTGTCTAGAGGTGGGGATCTCTGCAGCTCTCTAGGTTTAGTGAGCCAGGTCTGCCCTGGCCTAAATACCCAGTGTCAACATTGTAGGTGCTTCCTCCTCTTCTGGGCCAGACAGACAGACTGGACTGGGAGGGGAGTGGGGCTTTGAATTGTTGATCTGGGAATTTACTTTAAAGCCCTTTCTGGTGGCAGGTACATAAATGCTGGTTGTTTTGTAAGGGGAATGAATTCCTCGCTCAGGATGGAGAAGAGATGAGGGGGCACTCATGTGGCTAGACAGATCTGCAGACCACCTATTGAATGGTTTCTGAGAGACTCACTCTTGCTTAGTGTCCTCTAACAGGCCCCTTTGACTTGTCTCCATAGTTTTGTTCTTGTCAAGGAGTCTCTTCATTCAGAGGCTATGGTGGATGGTGTCTAAACCAGCCTTGCAGGGAGTGCACTACAGTGCCTGACTCACACTGGGGTGGTCCCCCCACCATGTTGAATATGATTTCATAGGAAGCCTTGCAGTTTCTAACTTGGCCTTTGAAACACAAGCTGAAGGAAAGCAAGCTGCCATGTAGGAAGTTCTTCTACTCAGACCTTTTGCTCAGTGACAAAGCTCGGGCCGATCCCACACACAGGCTTCTCATTTTGAGGGAAATACCCAGCCAGCCCCCAGATGTTCTGCCAACACCGCTGAGGTGCCAGTCATCTGAGTAAAGAAATCTTCATGATGTTCCACTCAACCAGACCTGTCCATGACTCTGGCCCCAGATACCTCACTACAACCACACAAGAGCCTCTAGGCAGGGCTGGGGGGTGGCTCAGTCAGTGAGGTGCTGGGACAAGCAGAGAACCTAAGTTTGAGCCCTAGAATCCATGGGAAAATCTAGACATGCATGCTGATGATTCTAGGATGAGGAGGCAGAGACAAACGGATCCCTGGGGCTTATGGGCCAGCCTAGCCTACTCAGCAGGCTTCACATTCCAGCAAAAGATCTTGACCTCTGGCCTCTGTGTGCACACACATGTGCACCTGCACATTCATGTACACACACACAT